CCGGAAAGGGATTCCTTCCGGTCATCGAGACTGTACAGTCTCGATGACTGGAGGGAATCCCCCCTGGCCAGTGGGAGGGAAGCGACTCCCAAACCTCCCACTTGCCAAGGAGGTTTTGGGTCCCGACTCCCACCCAAAAAAATAAAAAATAAAAAAATTGGATTGGGAGGTCGACTCCCAATCCCCCAGGGGGAATTGGAAAGACGACTCCCGTCCAACGACCCCTCGACCAAAATGGGAGTCGTCGTCAAATTTTTGGGAGTCGTTTTTCCAACCCCCTTTTTATATACCCAAAAAGAATGATCAATTTTAGAAGATTTTTAGAATATTCAGAATTTCCAAAAAATGAATTACAAAGGCTGGGAAAAACCGGGTGTAGAAGCAGAAAACCAGGTGTGAAAAACCAGGTGTGGATAGCAGAAAAGGGGGGTACGTTTATTAATCCCCTTGAAAAAAGTGCAATAATTGTAACATTTTTTGAAAATTTCAAAAACCAGTTTTATTCTTTTGTTTACAGAATCATTTTTTGAAAACCATTTTATACCACTTGTCCATGTGTCATGATTTCAAGTTGGTGGGTTGGGGCTGTGTAATCCAAACAAACTGGCTATAAACATCTGGGAGGTGACTGTACATTCAGCTTGCAGTCTATTCTACTGGGCCAATGGCCATCTTTGTCATTGGAGCAGGATTTCAGTCACCTAAAATACATATCAATGAACCTGAGTGTCCTTCAAATGATTCACCACTTTTGCATGTCAGTGGTAAGGCACCCAACTTCCAAGTCATCTGAAATTGTGACTTCCAGAAGACAAGTACTTTTCCATGATGTTGCAGTATTGGGGACCTCTTGTAGCCCATCCGGTCTGCGTTCCTTCGTGCCTGATAACCACGTCTATAGTTTTCGAAGTCAGTAGTCTTGAAATATTTGCATGTAACTGTTGTGGAAGTCAGGTCAATCATTATTGACTCGGTGTGTCAGTGACTCGGGCCTTTGTTCTCTGCTGGGCCACCAGACACCAATCGGGGCCCTTCTCCTTCCGAGCTCGGGGGTATACCCCCCGGGGGATATGCTACACTCCAGAAGAAATATCCCAAAAACGGTCAACAGGAACTGAACAACTTACAACATTGGTCATATCTTCCTTTCATTTCATCATCGAACCATCAAACATCCTCAACTTCTCGCCCTTCTTCCCTTCAAACGAAACCAGCTACATTTCAAACCAGAAACAACAACAAGCAACCAAGCAACCAATCAATCAATCAAACAAACAATCACAAAGAGTAAAGATCACACACCTACGCACAAGCTTTCCTTCAGCCATACTATTGCCCACAACCTTATCGGAGTCAAGCGAGAAGGAAGATGTCAAACGTCAAGGTAGTCTGTCGATTCCGACCACCCAATGCGCTCGAGCTGAGAGAGGCCGGAAACGATCCGATCGTGATCATCAACGATGAAGGGAATAGCGTCAAGCTGAAGTCTCAGGAGGGCATGAAAGGCCCCGATGCAGCCGGGTTCACATTCGATCGTGTCTTCCCCATGGATACCAAGCAGGTCGAGGTATTCGAATATGGCGTTAAAGGAATCGTCGAAGGTTCTCAATCTTCTTCTTCTTCATTCATAGTCTGGAATTCATAAAACTGATGTATCTCTCCTCTAATTGATTTCAGATGTACTCAGCGGATACAATGGTACGGTATTTGCGTATGGACAAACTGGATCAGGGAAGACATTTACAATGATGGTCAGCCTTTTTTTTATACTCAAAAAATAGTCCTACATCATCCTTTTCTTTTCAACTGATCCCCTCTCACTCTTCTATCAACTTATAGGGTGCCGATATTGATAGCGGCGAACTGAAGGGTGTAATTCCCAGAATAACTGAACACATCTTTGACTCTATCATGTCCAGCCCACACAACATTGAATACCTCGTCAAAGTCAGTTACATGGAAATTTACATGGAAAAAATTCGTGATCTTCTAGCCCGTTAGTCTGATCCATTCTATACATCAACTAGAAAAAAACTGTTTATCTATTGAGTTGACAGTTGCATCTTGCTTTTTTTTGTCTCTTTCCTTAGCTCACAACGATAATCTACCCATTCACGAAGATAAAAGTCGAGGGGTCTATGTGAAAAACTTGTCAGACTTTTATGTTGGTAGTGCTCCTGAAGTATATGAAATCATGAGGCAAGGTGGCGAGGCTCGAAAGGTATCATCAACCAGTAAGGCACCCGACTAATGCACACTACTTAATTGATTAAATTTTGAGCTGATTTTTTTTCTCAAATTTCGTTAGTCATGAACGCCGAATCATCTCGATCACATTCAATCTTCGTTATCACCATCCAACAAAAAAATCTTGAAACTGGCACCCAAAAAAGTGGTAACCTGTTCTTAGTCGATCTGGCTGGTTCGGAAAAAGTTGGAAAGACTGGTGCTAGTGGTCAGACCCTAGAGGAAGCGAAGAAAATCAATAAGAGTCTTTCGGCACTTGGTATGGTCATCAACGCTCTGACGGACGGTAAAGTATGAATTTTTTTACATTCCAACAAATCACCCCCAATGTATTATCTGCTGATGCATTTTTTGATCTTGTTGAATTTCAGTCGGCTCACATTCCTTATCGAGATTCGAAGCTAACACGTATTCTACAAGAGTCTCTTGGAGGAAATTCCCGAACAACATTGGTCATCAATTGTTCGCCATCGGCCTACAACGAAGCCGAAACACTATCCACCTTACGTTTTGGTATGAGAGCCAAATCGATCAAGAACAAGGCGAGAGTGAACGCAGAACTGTCATCAGCCGAACTGAAAGCCTTATTGAAGAAGGCACAGAGCGACACTGGTCGTCAACTATCATACATCACCCTGCTCGAAGGCGAACTGACGATATGGAGAAGTGGTGGACACGTAGATGAGGCAGACTGGGCGACGATGGAGAAGGCGCTGGGTGTCAAATTGAACGTCAACGAGGCTGGGGCTGTCAGTGTGGGTTCGAATCTACAAGCCAAACCTGGGACGAGTGGGCGAGAGACCCCAAGCACACCTAACAGCGCTCTCGGCCGACCAGGTGCTCTAGCTAGTAATCCCGCCTTGGATGCCTTACGTGAGCTCGGCGCCCGTCCTGAGACACCCACTATATCTTTGGAGCGGGACGAACGAGAGGAATTCTTGCGCAGAGAAAACGAGCTTAGTGATCAGCTGGCTGAAAAGGAAGAAGCCTTGGCAAAACAGGAACGTCGTATGCAAGAAATTCAGGAGGAGCTGAGTTTCTTCAAAGAACAGGAGTCGAGTATGTCTGCCGTAAGTACCCTCGATCCTACTTATTATGTCCCTATACGTCTTCCAAGGCGCTGAGATTAATGAAACACAACACAGGAGAACAAAGTGATGGCAGCAGACTTGAACGAACTTCGATTGCAGGTTGAGAAGCTGACGTACGAGAACAAGGAGGCAGCGATTCTTGGAGATGCGACTCGGGAACAAAACAATGACTTGAGCAACGAGCTCGAGGAATTGAAGAAGACGATCGTCGAGCTCAAGGCTGCGCAGAAATCTCTGAATGACGAGGGTAAACAACGAAAGAAGGCAGAGAAGATGGCCCAGTTGATGGCTGGCTTTGAGTCGGTAAGTCCCCCCTCCCCTCCTTTTTTTTCCGGAGTGTTTCCCATCATTCTTGGTTTTGCAGTTGTTTTTTTTTCTGATCAATGATTGATGAATAGACTGCGCTATCGGAGAAAGAAGACGAGATTCGAGCGACACTGCAAAAGCTAGATGAAGCGGCAGATGTTGACCGACCGTTATCAGCCGAAGATCTGATGTTACTGAAGAGACAATTAACGGATTCTCAGATCCTAGCCAATGAGTCGAATGAGCGGGCGAAGAAGTCACAAGAAGAGATCGAATTACTGAGTCGACGGAAGGAAGAATTAGAGAATAGATTATCACTCTTGGAGCAAGATTACGAAGATCTACTCGAGCGCGCCTCGGCTGCAGTCGGAGCTGGTGGGATCAATACCGGGGAGGATGTGAATGAGTTGGAGAGTATTAAGGCCAAGTTGGACGCCCAAACTGCACTCAAACGAGAGGCTACGTTGGTCGAGATTACCGACTTGAAACAACAACTTGATATCAAGGTGCACGAGAATCGAAGTCTGATAGTGACGATTGACAACTTGAAGAGTGCCAATGAAGAGTTAAAGGTCTGTCTTTTTGAATCCCACCCGTCCTCATTTTCTTTCGTGCTCATCAATCCCCCCCCCTTCTTCGTTTTTTTTTTTTTTGTAGCGTGCATTTGCAGTGACTGCTGCTGGAATCGAAGGCGGTAAAGATCTGGCTGAAAGCGCTAAGGAGATGGAACGGATTCGGAAAACCATGGCTAGTCAGTTATCTGAGTTCGATGGAATGAAGAAAAGCTTGATGCGTGATCTCCAAAATCGATGTGAAAAAGTAAGTCAAATTTTTTCTCTTCTTCTTATACCTGGTCGAAATTCATCACACTAATGTTAATTTTTATTTGTATGATTGAAGGTAATTGAATTAGAAATTTCATTAGATGAAACAAGAGAACAATACAACAACGTCTTACGGAATTCGAACTCGAAAGCGCAACAGAGGAAGATGGAATTCCTGACGCGGAACCTAGACCAACTAACGAATGTGCAAAAGCAACTAGTGGAGCAGAACAGTATTCTGAAGAAGGATGTGGCGATTGCCGAGCGGAAGCTGTTAGCGCGGAACGACCGGATCAGTTCCTTAGAGAACATGCTCATCGAGGCCCAAGAGAAGCTGAATTCCCAGAACTCCAAGTTCGAGCTCCAGTTGAATGCCGTCAGAGAGCGGCTCAATCAGGCCCGTGCACAGCAAGATAAGCTCCCCGGCGGCGGCAATCCCGGCGTCTCCGGCGGCCTCGTCTTTGGTAGAATCGCTAAACCTTTGAGAGGTAGTGGCGGCCTCGTCCCAAGCAATGATCCTGCTTCTACTACTCCTATCAGTTGAGTCTTTCCTTTCCTGTCCTGTCCCCCCTCTTTAAATCACCACTTCTCATCAGCTTTCTTTAAATCATTATAAATGTTCATGTGGTTTTTTTTGGGGGTCTGTTTCTTTAGATGCTGAAGCAGCTAAACGAACGTCCTGGTTTACGCGCAAATAATCCAACCACATACTTCTGTTTTTTTTTGAACTTCGTTCCCTCATTTTTTTCTCATATATTCCCTTCCTTCTTTCTTTTTTTACACTTTTTTTCCATTTTTAGACAACCACCCCTGGCCCTTTTGTCTTCCTTCTTCTCCTTCTTTTTCTTTGACACTTTTGAGATTTCTAGATTGATAGATTAGTATAGCTGTATTTTTTTCTTCTTCCATTCATTCATTCATTTTTATATCTTATCATCTCCATTTTTTTTTTTAGTTCTATGTTTCAAGTGTGGATGGTGTGTGTGGATGATGTGGGTAGATGAAGTGTGTGTGAAGGAAGGTTTTGCTGTTTTCTTTTTCTCATTTTGGTTTCCTCTTTGGTTTTGAGTCTAATTTCCTGTTTTCCTTGTTTATATATATAAAAATTTGACTTTCTTTTCAAAGTCCTGTTGACATCACACAATATTGTCTTTCTTTTTTCTATACATACTTTTTTTTATAAATATGTTTTGTATATACACAGTTTGCATATAGTACAGTTTGATCCAATCAATCCATAAACTCGATCACTTTTTTTTTTCCTTTTTCTTACAGATTTTCGTTCTGGAATCATTTCTTTTTTTTGGTCACCTCATCTTAGACAAAACAAGAAACCAGGTTTGCACGGATTCTTGGTAGTGTTTTTACAGTTTTGTGTCCTTGACTGATTTTGGGGGCTGATGATGTATGTTGGTTGCTCATCTGATGATCTTCTCATATGAAATGAAACAAGTCATGATGGTTGAAGACGATGATATACAGCTCTCCTAGTGATTTTGATGTTCAAGTATGGACAATATGAAGATGATGGTTGAAGACGATGACACTTGAAACATAACTTCATATCCCGCACTGGATGTGCAGTAAAATAAACCTGGATATGTAGTATTTTTATACTTTTTTTTGTTCACCTCTTCACACCATTTTTTTTTTTTGAAAAAAACACTGAATATCCAGTTTTTTTTACTCCATATCCAGTACTGGATATGAGGTAGTGTTGAAAGTGTGATATACAGCTCTCCTAGTGATTTTGATGTTCAAGTATGGACAATATGAAGTGTTTGTATGCTTCTCGCTTTTCTTTTCGCTTCTTGGATCGATGATGGCTGGTATGAAACCCCACTCCGAGAACTCATATTTTCTATATTGTCTGAGCAAGTTTCTCTCGGTCGATAATCTCATTTCGAATGTCATGGTGAGATTGATTATGTAAGCTCGATCGGCTTAGAGCTGATTACGTCATCAGCAGCCTCTTCCTCATAAGAACGAAGTAAGCCAACCAACCCAAAAAACCAACGAGAACCAACAAAAACCAACCAACCAACTGGCGATGTACTTCCTATTCAGCTCATCAAACCCAGAAGTAAGTAAAACAAAAAAAACAAAAGAATAGAAAACAAAAGAATAGAAAACTGACTTAATATGTACATCATAGACCATCGAATTATTCAGATCGACTTACTACAGACCCAAACTAGGACTATGGATCCTACTCTTCATCCTATTCCCACCCATCAACCGAACCAACAACACAAAAACAACAACCACCATCACAGTACTACCAACAACAACTCATACAACAACAACAGAACCAATAACAACAACAACACCAACAGCAACAACTCATCCTTCATGTCCTGATGCCTATCGAGACCATCGAAACAACCTCATCTGTCCACATGCTCCAAAGAGACTCAAGAGCGTTCGCCAGAGATTCTCGCAGGTCTTGCTCGAATTCCAAATCTCAATCAACCGACTCATCTCATCCCAAGAGGACTATCAACAACAACTCAAAGAACTAGAAAAACAGCAACAACAGCAACTCCAACATCACCATCATCATCAACCTAGCAACACTCAGAAACCAAAACAAGCCATCACACTTTCGTCCCTACCTCGTCTGATCATCTGCACCCCACTAGCCAATCCGTTCCTCCACCTGCTGATCATCCTACACATCCTATTGAGCATCCAAGCCATCTCACTCTTGATCGAGGATGCGTTGATCAAGGATGCCTGTTTCAGTGGGCCGACGAACTACAGCTTCTTCCGCAGGAGCGCGAGTTCCTGGCCGAAGCTATGGTCCCGGATCCAGTTCCGGCTGCGCAACCAATGGAGCCAGCCGGCCTTCCTCGAGCCCTTCTCGCTCTGGCTCCTCCTCCTCGGCCTCCTCATCTTCGTCGCCTCCGAAACCCTCGGCGAGCCCGGCTCCTGGTCCAGAGGTGGCTTGGCCTGGGACGATCTGCCCTTTAGGACCCGCTGTGGATGGTCTTCTTCTTCTTCTTCTTCGGTTTCTGAAACGAGGCCCTTCCGTTGTCCATCATCTCCGCCGCACCGGTCCTCAGAATCTTCGGCTTCTTGCTCCACTCCCCACCCTTCCTCAAACCCGCCCGAACACTCATCCTCATCGAATCCTGCATCACTCTGCTCAGTCTGCTCCAGCCCGCCCAACACTTCTTGCCCTCTAAAATCCTCCCCAAACTGATTAAAGTGCCCAATTGGTTGCTCAAACTTCGCAAAGACTCTCTCGGCGATAAACTCGGGTTCCATGAGGACCATCATCTCGATGCGCTCAATCGTCGGTTCTTGAATCCCAATCATCATAACCATCCTCATCCCAATAACCATCATCATCATCATTTTTATCAACAATCATTTGACGATCGGCGTCTGTTCCCCACCAACCATTCCGTACTCTCCTCGCCTCCTGTCCCCATCAATCCATCATCATCATCATCATCATCTTCTTCTTCTAATTCGTCTGATTCTGATTCTCATCATCAAGATCATCATCAGCGACCTCACCCGGCCTCGACCTCGGACGGGCCAATCGTCGAAGTCGAAACGAAATGGCTCTTGGGCGTCCTGGTCGAAGCTTGTATTGGAATCAGCTCGATTCTTGGATACCTTATCGTCATGGTATGATCACCAAAAACTTCCCTGGCCTTCTTTTTTCATTCTTGGAAATTGAATTGTTTTTTATAATAGGTTCATATACCATATGCATCCCATTATTCGATCCCGTTCTTCCTGTCGATCTATTCGATCAAATCCTTCTCACGAGAGATCTCGAAATTGATCAAGAGTAGTCTGAATACGTTGGATTGTTTGATCTTGGTGATCTACGAGTTTTCGAGTCCCAACCATCATCATCAGCATCGTTCTTCTCATCACAAGAACACCTCAAGTTCGAGAAGCTCAAGATCAAGAAGAAGGAGAAGAAGAAGTTCGAGAAGACGTTCGAGAAGGAGCGGTCGAGGCGGACCCGATGGGATGGAAGAAGAAGAGGATCAAGAAGAGGTGGAAGAAGAGGAAGAGAAAGATTGGACTTGTAGTATCTGTTTCGAGGATACCGGGCTCGACCATGTCCGTGATCCCGCGTCTCCCACCAACTCCAACTCTCCTACGGCATCTTCTTCGTCGTCATCGTCGTCCTCGTCATCTTCGGCTTCTGAGTCAGCTTGTTCTGAGTCAGCGTCTGACTCTCTCCTCAATCAATCTCCCCCTCACCCTGCAAATCAGCTCGATTCAAACCAACCTCCTCCTCCTTCTCCTTCTTCTCAACAAGACCAAAGCTCCAAAACAACACTTCTGGAACAACACCCACTTCAACCATTTCATCAGCAGCAGCAGCAACTTATTCTTAGGAAGGATCCGGCCAGGAAAAAACTCGCCAAGTCGGCCTCCTCATCAGTCCACCATAGAACACCCGCCATTCTCCAGCCGCCTGGCTCGAATCGGTGCGTGTTGAATTGCGGACACGCGTATCATACGCCGTGTCTCGTCAAATGGCTCCATTATCAGGCCTTTTGTCCCGTCTGTCATCGCCCCGTCCTGTAATTCTTCTTCATTTTTCTTTGTCGTTTTTGTTTTGTTCTGTTTTTTTTTGCTTTGCTTTGGATTAGTGGTCGGCTGTTATTGTGGGAGACGGGATCAGTGATGCTCTTCTTCCCCTCTTCTTCTTTTTTTTAGAGACAACAACAACAAATGGGTGACTTTTGTGGCTGTGTGTGTGTATAGGTGTACAAAATCAATGTATATTTATCGGGATGTGTGCTCTTTTCTCTCTTTTTGAGTGTGTCTCCATTCTTATTTTACATGGGTTGGTTTGGTTTCCCCCCCCCCCTTTTTTTAAGAAAAAAAAAAAAAAAAAAAAAAAAAAAAAAAAAACATTCACTATCTATTGATTTTTGTTTTTTAATCAAAAAAAAAAACAGCTGTGTTTGTGGCTTGTCCAACTATCCCCCCAACCCGCCCCCCCCCGCCACCCGTTATCTTTGTTTTTTTTTCTTGGGGCGAAGGTGAAAATATTGAACCTTTTTTGGGGGAGAAACGGGTGCCATATGGAGGCATGAGCGTGCCATTTTGGCCCCAAAAAAACCATTTTGAAATGTTAATTTTCATGCAGCAAACTGGAGCCAACCTGGGCCAAAACGTGGAGGACAAGGAAATATACACCGGCAATACTCCACTATGTTTCATTCAACCCCCCCACACCCATACCATACAAAGTTACGTGTTGTAAAGCTATCCACCCACACCAATACCATACAACCAACGAAATAACCATCCCAGTAACACTACATCCAATCGGCCTATTGTACCTCTCCAACACTATGCGTATCACTCTTCAAAATTTCGGCCACGAGTTCCAAAGCATTGTTACCGAATTAATTAATGCTGGCCATAATGATAACGAAATCAGACAATTCCTCCAGGAAAATCACTCGATCATTGTTTCCCAACGCACACTAACCCGACGCAAAGAAGACTGGGGCTTGATCCTGCATGCCTCTCAGCAAATGGCCAACACTGAAGAGCACATCAAGAAGTATTTCGACCAAGGCTTGACCTACTCGCAAATCCATCATGCACTAACTACTTCTCACAACTATACTCACTCCAAGCGTACCCTCCAGAGGAAGATTACGGCGATGCAGCTCTCAAGGAGGTTGGACGACTTGGATACCGCACGAGTGACCATCGAGGCCGTTGTATCATGTGTAATGCATCTCCACCTGACTCCAGAGGGAAGGAATGTTGGCTACCGACGTATGCGACAGCTCCTCCAGACAAAGTTTGGCATCACCCTCCACTAGTAAGTTTCCAAACTCCATGAATAAGCTTGAAGTAACACCAATTTGTTCCTTTCTTCATCACTTTCTCAATTTTCCACACCTTAGCCTCACAGTTGCACTCATCAATCGTACACTGGACCCTGATGGTGTGGAAAATCGAGCCAAGAGGGTACTCAAGCGAAGGGTCTTCAAAACACCAGGGCCCAACTACATATGGTCAGCAGACGGTCACGACAAGTTGAAAAAATTTGGAATTACTTTATACGGGTTCATCGATGCCTGGAGCCGCAAGATCCTCGGTATTTATGTCCACATCACCAACAACAATCCCCGCCACATCGGTTATTACTATCTTCAGCTGGTCAAAGAAATAGGAGGAATTCCTCGACGTACATCTACTGATAAAGGGACTGAGACAATTCACCTGGCCAGCCATCAGATAAACCTCACTCAGCAATACAATGAAGAATGTATCGACCCAACTCAATCCCATCTCTTCACGAAAAGCACACATAACCAGAAAATCGAGTGCCTGTGGTCCCAGCTTATGAAGCGGTACAACAGTGAGCTGATCAACAAATTGTTTACGGCTATTGAAGAAAGTTTTTATGACCCCCAAGACCCTCTTGAGCAGTGAGTAAAACATCTACATCAGAACCGCTTGGAAATAGACATGGCAAATTCTGACAACTTCTGGAACTTTTCAGACTATTATTTATCTATCTGTGGGTCCCACTTGTTCAAAGAAGCCTGGACGATTGGATGAATAATTACAACACATACAAACGGCGCCTGGACAAAAAGAGTAGCCTGCCCACGCGCTGCAGTGCGGACTGGTGCTTCAACTACCCGGAAGAGCAAGGAGGGGAACAGGGACTGATTAAAGTGACTGGCGAGGCTGCTGATGCGTTAGAGAAGGAGTTTTACCCCGAAGGCGATGAACTACTTCGAACCACACCAAAATGGTTCTCCGACATTATTTCTGACCTTCAAGCTGCATTTGATCTAGCAATCCCGATTGTAACTGTTCACAATGTTTGGGAGGTTTTTACAGTTTTAAACAAAGCCATCCGAGCATATGATACTGCTTGGCTTTCTGATCCCTCCAATGACCCCTCTCTTACAATAGCTGCCCGCTCTCTAGATACTGGGCTAAATTAATTGTTGTGTTGAATGTTCTTTCCATGCTTAACAGACTTGCCTGCTCTTGTGAATTCTGTATTTTTGTCAGTGGCGGATGATGGTTGGTCCTCATGATACATACTGATTGCCTTGGGTTCTTTTGATTATTCAATGAACTCGATCACCTCTTTGTGGCAAACAATATAAGTTGAACACCTTGATGTGTCTATGACAGCTCATGTGAAACCTCTGATATGAGATGCTTCCGGTTCAATGTTGCGGCTTGCCAGCCTTCTCCATACACTTTGGTCCTCTTGGTTCAGGAGACTGAGCAATCAAGATTCCACAGGTAAATAAGTCATTTTCAAATAAACAACCGGTCTAATCACCTGATAATCAAGCTAATCACTCAGAAAACAATCCAACAGATTGATACATGGTCTATTCAATCGGTATGTGGTCTAATGGTTTCATTCCCTACTCGATGGAAATCAACAGCTCAACACTTTCATGGCTCTAATGGATTCTTTGGCTCTCCTATTAGTTGATAAGGCCTCCTATCGATCATTTAACCATCCAGCTGATTGAATCAGGCTCATCTAGGCGCCCAAAAGATTGGAAACACCCGATTCATTTGTTTCACACTGCAATCCATCAAGACTACTGTAATCAATTGTTTATCGCTTCGTTTGATTTATAATCGCTCTGATCTAATGTCTATCTCTTTAATCGATTGATCTAGGCTCTAATCGATTGTTGATCGCTTCAATTGACTGACAAAGTCTCGAATCGATTGTTTATCGCTTCGATCGACTGATAAAGGCTTGATTTGATTGTTTATCGCTTCAATCGATTGGTCAAGGCCCTAATCAATCGTTTATCGCTTCAATCAATTGGTCAAGGCCCTAATCAATCGTTTATCGCTTCAATCGATAGAGAAAGGCCCTAATCCATCATTTATCCCTTCGATCGATAGAGAAAGGCTCTAATCGATTGAAATGGCAGCTTGGTTGCTTGGTTGCCAATCTTGGCATTTGAAAACTGTTCTTCACCATTTGAGCTGGCAGTTGAGAAGCGCTGTATTGTAGAAAAGTGGCACTTATGTGGCCATTTTGGCACTTGGGTACCATTTTTATTGATTTTTTGGCCAAAATGGCGCGCTAATGCCTCCATACTGCCAACAACTAAACCGAATCCAAAACACACACACACACAGAGACACACAGACTGACACCTGCTAAAAAAAAATAGTAACATGATCACCGGCCGATTGGCTGTGCAGTACTTAATATGTCACACACATACCCCGCTTACAAAGGCTCTCTGATAAGTAGCCCATGAAAAGTACGCTTACACAACACTAATCTCCACTGGCTTTCTGGTCCACTGAGAACATCCTGGGCAGTAACAATATCCTTGTTTAATTTAGAGGGACTTAAAAAAGTTGAATATACATACAAGTAATAAATTGGATGAATTCTTGGCTAGTCAGGCTGCACAAACAAGCAAGCTCAAATCCCAAGTGGCCAAAGAATCAATCAGATCAACGTACAACCAGTTACATCTAACCTTGTCACAAATGGCGCACACTGATCATCAGCAGACATGCTTTTTTTTTCCCTTTTTTGTGCTGAGCCGGACGCCACAATCCACGGACCATCCCGGTCACTACTTGTGCATTCAACTTTGAATGAAACAGGCTAAGAGATCCTTGGCTGGGATTTCTTTCTTTCTTTTTTTTTGCGGTTGACAGTCTCGTGTTGCTTACTGATTGCCCTGGCCATGATTGTTGGATCTTATGCAAGAGTGCTTCAATCAGACTAGTGGATGGTTGTAAAGGATTGGAAAAGAAGAAGAAAAGAAGCTGGACTGGTTTTGGATGGACCACATCACTCTCCGCAGCAGACAGCCTGTCCAACTGACCCGGTGGATTAGAGATGGTCGAAGGGTATCCGTCGCGGATACCCGTTATCCGCTGGCGGATACCCGCCTGTGCCAACGGATACCCGCCAGCGGGTGCGGATTCGGGTGCGGATGGCCCCTTTTCCGCAAATCGCTGGCGGGTATCCGGGTATCCCAAAGGATACCCGCGGCCGGGAGGGGAGATGGCCGACTGGAAGGACACCCTTCCAGCCGGCGAGGTACATGTACCTCGTCGACTGGAAGGAAGCACTTCCAGCCGTCGAGGTACAAGTGCCTCGCCGGCTGGAAGGAAACCCTTCCAGCCGGTCCGTCGCCGGCCCTTTAGAGGGCGGGTATCCGAGGATACCCGCTCGGATACCCGCTGCGGCCGAGGGATACCCGCTAGCAGATGCGGGTGCGGATGCGGATGTGCAATTTCGCTGAAATTGCCATCGGATATCCGCATCCGAACGGGTATCTGGATGCGGACCGACCATCTCTACGGTGGATTGTGCAGACAGGACACAGGACTGCAGTGTTCCACAAGTCATTAACCAAAACAAAATGAATTCACGATTGTTGTTATTTGAGTAGGTAGAGGTCCCACAGCAAGTATGTAAGTGCTCTGAACCATAACACATATCCTCTTGGCAGGAACTCAAGGCCACAGAATCCTGCTTGGCGGATGGCTTGCTTGGGGCCCAGAGGATTGTCAGAAGCAGCAGCTGTGTGCAGGTGGTGCATCTTTGACTTCCTGTCTGCTCCAATATGGGCAGACTAACCCCACTCCTCTAGTGGCCCCGTGTTGCAAAGAAGCACCCCTAGAAGAATACACATGTCTGCTTGGATGGGGACGGTCTTAATTGGCTCATCATCCAACCAGACTCAAACCCTGGGCAAGATCATCTCACCAACAAGAGGCGTGCAAGCCAGCTGCTGCTCGATCTTGCAGACCATCCTCAGTCTCAGTATGAAATCTCCCTTGCATGTGGGACATGAAGATGATCAGAAGAACAAAACATTTCAACAAAAGATCATCCAACCAAAGAAATTGCTTTACCACTAGAGTTCATCAAAAAAAAAAACATGACTAGTAGCATGGATCCTTGGAGGATTCAGCAGGCCTAGAAAGCAACACTCATTATCAAGCTTGAGTTGTTTTGAGATGTTGTGTGGAGTTGGGCTTCACAGATACTGCTCAGAGTAGATGTTGACAACAGATATGCAGGACTGCTCCAAGCTTCTGAGAGAGTTACTTCCCCTTACAAAGAGAGAGTGAGAGAGAGAGATCAAGTTACCAAAATTGATCTGAAATTGAGATTACAAGGGGGCATACCCATGCCACACAAGTGAGTCCACACTTGCGCCATGCTTAGTGAGGCACTGATTATATGAAGTGGAAAGTTCCCAAATCTCTGGCAGGATTTTTTTTATTTCTGGACAAAGTACATATAATCCTAGATCCTGATCATTGAGAATATGCAGGAATAATGATGGGTGGATGCGAGATCAAAAGTGGAAAAGTTCATCTAAGCAGGCTAGGCTAGGTTTTCAGAAGGAGAGAGCCAACCTTTTTTTTTTTTAGTTGGCTTTCATTTTGCTTTGTCTGGGTGATGATCCTGCCCATACAGCTTCTTTGATACTTGCAGCATATTAAGAGAGTTTGTGGGGGAGAGATTTGAGATGCAATGTAATGATCATCATTGTCCATCAAGCTGATGATGGACTGCTGCAGAGCTTCCTGAGGACACCCAGATTGATGTTGATCCTTGTGGGATCCTGTGAACCCTCCACCTAGTACAGGATTCACAGAGTTCATTTATCATCAAATGATCACCAGTCCATCAGACTACATATTTTCACTCTCCCTTTTCTCCTCCTCGCTTGGTAGAGACATTCCCAACTTTGTGCTACTGACCTAGAAAAAAAAAACAGTGGTTCTAGAAAATTGTTCTCTCCCAAAGCTATTTGCTTTGTTTCCAGAGCTCTCTCCAATGTAAAGTGGAAGATCAACAACAATCCTTACAGATCCATCCCTGCTCTTCTGGAGAGACTCAGGCCTCCACTGGCATGGATAACTCCTATCCTCTGAATCTCTCTTAGAGGGTTGCTTTGCAACACCTGGCTAAAAGGATTGGGGTTGTTTCACATTTGGCTGCCACCCAGACCTGGTCACATTTTTATGTTGGGCCTGAGACCAAGTGACCATTGCTGACATAGTGCAACAGTCTAGCAACATCACACTCTCAAACTGTGTCACAGAAATTGCCTCTATAACTGCTCCAACACTGTTTCAATCCCCATTGAATCCAACCCCCTCCATCATGAAAATTCACATTGCTACCTTGTGTAGCACCTTGGCTATGTTTACTGTTGGGATTGTCATTTCCCAAAGACGTCCAGCCTGCCCTGATTGCAAATCAATGCTAGTTGAAGAAATCATGTCACAGCAGGTGGGGGATCTACGCCTCCCTCAGAAATACATATGTGGTTGCCAATTTCATGCAACAGGAAGGGAGTGCCTCAACATGTGCTATAAGACAAATTACAAATGCAAAATATGCAATGCAATCTTTCGGATAAACACACCCGCAAGTTCATTAGTAAAGCAACCTTGCAATCATTATTCAAAGGAACTCTTACGTAAAGGAACCTATCATGTGTCTGGTGCATCCAGTTCTGTGGCCCCTTCTCAAGCCCCTTCTGAGCCCAGCCCATCTGAACCCAACAATTCAAGGACTGATGAAGGGCCTGTTGAATACGACTTCTTCCACTAGTCCCCATGGGCTACCACTAACAAACCCAATGGTTGATTGTGGCACACTTAATGGCTAAAATCTCCCGCCACACAATGTTTTTTTTTTCTTTTTCAAAAATACGGATATCAAAATACCCGCAGCATCAGCACACACACCCTGCCTACTGATTTGGCTGGGTTTTATCTAATCATCTCATGCCTCAGTGAGACATGACAGACACCAAGGGAGAATTGGATTCACTCTTGTACTTTTCAAGCACAGAATTTTCATCTTAACTGATGATTGTTTGTCCTCTTGAGAATCAATAAAAAGTTGATCAGACTTGGTCTGAATTCAAGCCAACACTCTCACACCAATAAAGTAATCAAAAAACAAGCT